TCGAGGCCTTGCTTCGGTACGGCGGTGATTTCCCGTCTGATTTCTGGGATATACTATGGAGACAGCAGCTATACCCAATCTTCATGGTACTGCGGTCGAGACCGGAGATGACCAATGCTCTTAACCATGAGGAACTGTCTGTGTGGCTGTCGACCACCATGATCCAGGCACTTCGTAATATGATCATCCTCTTTACACACTACTTCGATGCCCTCGAGTACATGTTGGATCGCTTCCTCGAGCTGCTAGCACTTTGCATATGCCAAGAAAACGATACGATCGCTAGGATAGGCAGCAATTGTCTTCAGCAGCTAATCCTGCAGAATGTGACGAAGTTCACCGATAGTCATTGGGCTCAGATCGTCGGATCGTTCTGCGAGTTATTCGAGAGGACGACAGCTTACCAGTTATTCTCAGCCACAACTATTAACGTCCCATCCTCACTATCGCCACCTCCCACCGGACTAGGTTTCGAAGTGCCTCTTACGCCTACAAGTGACTCACCCACAGACGAAAGGTCGCTAAAGATTAATGGCGCAGATAAGGGTAGCATTTCATCTGGAATCGAATCTGCTTCAGATGCCACTACTCTACCTCCTCATGCCGAAGACTCCCTACGCTCGCCGAACGGCAATGCCTCGAACCGTCTTGAAGACTATAAACCTACTTCTTCACTCCAGCAGCAGCCTGTAGTGGTAACGGCGGCTCGACGGCGCTTCTTTAACCGTATCATATCTCGCTGCGTTCTACAACTCCTCATGATTGAGACGGTTAATGAACTCTTTTCCAATGACACCGTCTACTCTCAGATACCATCTAGAGAGCTATTGCGTTTAATGGCGCTCCTTAAGAAATCATTCCTTTTCGCTAGGCGGTTCAACGAGGATAAGGACTTACGCATGCGCCTATGGCGGGAGGGGTTCATGAAGCAACCGCCCAACCTCCTAAAGCAGGAGAGTGGCTCGGCTGCCACCTATATCCAGATCTTATTCAGGATGTTCGCCGACACGTCGCCGTCGCGTGCAGAGAGTCGACCCGAAGTCGAGAAGGCTCTAGTACCCCTCTGCAAAGACGTCATCAGGGGTTACTTAGCGCTGGAGGAAGAATCGCAGCAACGAAACATTGTAGCGTGGCGTCCAGTCGTCGTTGACGTGCTGGAGGGCTACTCGACATGGCCGGACAAGGAGTTTGCCGAGCACATCCCTTCGTTCTATCCCTTAGTAGTTGAGTTGTTGGGCAAGGAACTTAGTGCCGACCTGAGAGTTGCTCTGCTCGCTGTCATGAGAAAGGTTGGCGAAGTAGGTCTCGGGATTGAGGGGATTTCCGGTGGCCGGCGAGAGAGTGTTGCCAGCGTCGCTATCAGCGGGGAGACGCCAACTACGGAGTTAGAAGTCGGTGAGGTTGGTATGGGTGGCATAAGGGCGTGAGATGGCGGGCCGATTCTATCACGACGCTAGTTACTACATAGCGGTCATTCGGCACTTCCCAGAGCGCGACGGGGGCGAGGCCGTCGCGAGTATTGATTTGTCATAAAAGGGGCATTGGAACAAAAATGGACGCGATTAATAGACGACTACGGTCACATCCGGTGTTCGGTTGGGCGGGAGGGCCCATTACAAGCAAGTTAAGCTCTTGTATGATAGATACAATTTTGTTTTTTCTTGGTGTTTTGCCTATGTAGGCACTGCACGTATATACGCACGTTGCCTCAGCAGTGGTGTCTCGTATTGTACAATTTTAAACCCATTTTGCCCGCCGAAGAGGACAAGATAAATGAGTGAGGCCTCGTGTCTGAGTATGTCGAGTCCTGATTACTAGGTAGGTACCTAACCTAAGACCGGGAGCCGCATTTAGATTCCCAAATTGGAAATCCGTGTTGACGGAGATGGTCTGTTTCGTCTCCTCGTGGTTCATCTCTGGCGCATGTAATATTTAGATCGTACATGCCCAGACGCCAAGGTTAGATGCGTAATATCTACCTACCTACCTACCTAAGGTAAGGTAGGTAGGAATCTATCTGGGACAATAACTACCTAGACATCCTGCACGTCACGGCGGTTCCTCAAACAAGCTTTATCTGCTCCCGTGCGAAGCTAACGGCGTTTCTAGTAAGCCTTCTAGCTCCTGTCTTGGAAGTCATCTGCGTGCCGATTAGCTCGTTGCCCCTGGTCGGTTCTAGACTATATATAACCGTTAACTACTGGTATGTCTATATGTATACTAGGGAGGTATTCCTGGTCGTCGCGTGTACAACGACTTTCGTATTCTACGGCTGGAGGTCTCGTTAATAATATCGAGGTTTCGTTTCCGCTTGCTAGTATTCTCTTTGTAAGATGTTGTCTATTTCCTTGTGTCTATCAAACCTAGGACTCTAAACCCCCGGTTTCTATTGTTCTTTTCTTAGCTAGTATCGTATCAGGTGCGTCATGGGCCATACTCTACCGTGTTAAAGTATGTCCTAGTTCTAAATAGGTCTGCGGACTTAAGAGCCGGGGGCGAAAAGGGGTTGTGAGTTACACAAAGAACATACTAAATTCTTCCGCGCGGTTAAGGATTACGAAAGCAGCTTGGATACTGCTGATCAATTCTTATTCATATACCTCATCATTCGCGCCGTCGCTATCGGCGAAAGAATTTGGTGTGACCTCGCGTTGTCTACGGGGTCCGAGATTCTTACATCCATCCATCCCCATCCACGTCGAGGTCAACGATATGAGATTCTCGATTAAGTTTTGTATCGGCCAATAAGTCTCACCCATCCTTCCGATTTGTTTTTCGGCGATAGCTTACTTGCTTTGTTCCTGATTGATAAGGTATCGAGATAATTACAAAAAAAGACGTGGCTAGTAGGACTAGTTTAGAGCCTCAGATGATAGCATGACTGCATTAGGTAGACTTGCAAGAGATTGCGATATGCGCGGGCCGTGGTTATCTAATATCACGGAATGTCGAAATATTAGGAGAGGGACAAATAGGAGGGCAGTATAGCAAAGCGTGGGAAGCATGTCAAACAAAATAGGATCTTATCTAAGTCGAGCGTCTCGTTCGACCAGTATGCGTTTATGTTTGGTACTCCCTGTAGGGCTGCTAAGCGATGTGAATACATGTATTAATAGACGAATGAGCGTCCGTATTTCGAAGTTGAAAGACATTATTCTGTATTATAAAATTATGCATTTAGGGATTGAACAACCGGGGACAGAAGACACCGAGATTGAGTAGTCTCTTGTTCCGGATGCTATTATTATTGGATAGGATCCCGTATTACTCCCCTTGTTAAGCCTCGCTTGCTTATCATCATGCTTTACATGACTCGAGCTGCTAGGGTAGCGAGTATGATAAGTGATAGATCTCTTATGTAGAAGGACATGGGAAAATAAAATACCGTATACTTGAGCTGTCTATTGGTAGACGACGTTCTATTTACGCGGAAAGACAGGCACTTGTGCTTACGTTAGGGCTGACCGGCGAACTGGAGGAGGGTTAAACTATGTATTATTTGTTAGTATTTAGACGTTATGTTGTGTTGTGTTGTGTTGTGTTGTGTTGTATTTATCTAAGACAGATGCGCTACGACGCAACCCTCAAAAGAGATGATGGGTAACACAACATCTCCAGGCAGTAGTATAGAGAACGACGAGTTAAGCAATAGCCTATTCTAACTTATTTATACGTAGTGACATAAGATCGAATTATTTGTCTCCTTTCTCGTCTATTCGTCTCTAGCCCCGAGGATACTCTACAAGAGGGAGAGAATACCACAGCGCGTCTACCGCGGTAATCTTCTAGAAACGGGAGGGGAATTCACATCATTGTTTTGTCTATTTGTGTGTAGGATGCCATACATATCTTACCCTGGCTTCTCCACGATAACTAATGAATTACCTCTTGTGATGTCGCACCAGTAGTCCCCCTTCACGACATCTATTCGTACGTCTTGTTCCAGTTCCGCGAAAGACTTGGAGACGAGTATCTTCTGGGCTACATGATTGGCTCAACTGGACCAATAAGAGGCCACACAAGGGGTCGAAGCATGTGTATATATTTCCTCTTCGGGGGCCTTGTTGCGTTTTCCCTCTGATTGGCTAATTCCTACCCCAAGTAGAATCCGCTTCTCCCTTCTAAGCCATCGGCAGTTCTGTAGGTCTTTTCCTCAACGGGAAGTCGACGACAAATGGAGATGTGATATCGTCAGTTTCTAGAATGCTTCGGCCAGAACTAGTTGCAGGGAGGGGGTAAAATAAGCTATAAGTGCATATACATGCATATACATACTACGCCCTTGAATGTGGGTGGTACTCAGAGTCTTAAAGTCTTTAGCTATGATGATCCTGTCGTCTTCACGATATTGTACAGGTCATTGCTCCCCAAAGCCATAGTCCGGGCATGTCCGAGGTTCTCATTTACAGACTAAACCATCTTGCCCTTGCCCCTGAGCTGGAACCCGTATGCCGGGACGACTAGTCAGCCTTACCACGGCATATTGCAAGGTATCTAGCTACGTAACTGTTGCATATAAAACTAAGTGATTACGTGAGAGTGTGTGGTAGGCTCTGGAAGGTGTTGTTGATCCCCACCGGATAGGAATGGGACCTTTGTGGTTATCTGAAGTCCGAGCCTTGGTTCAACACTCCCCTCGCAAGTCAGCTCCCCGATAGGAGGAGTTTGTTGTGATACGCTATAGTTCGGATGTACTCCGTTGTCCAAGGCTCAGCATCCCATCGTTATATTACTCAGCCCTAACTGGCGAGTAATGAAGTTTTAAGCCTCGATAGTCACCGCTTTAAGGGGCTCTATTGAGTAGTTAATCAAGCATCAAGAACTCCTTTATATCATTAGCAAAGAAGTTTTAATCTAGCTCAGCTGAGCTTAACTTAGATTGAGTCGTACGTGGGGGCAAAGGAATCCAACCCTGACCCTGACCGCTACCTGGAGACACCGTTGCTGCAGAGCCCCAAATTTATCGGACTGTACCTTGCGTCAACCCCTGACGACGTGCCTCGTATCGTTCGTGGCTATTGAGATTAGAAGGTCCTACGTTATTATCTTCCGGGCCACTGGCTAAGGAAGACGAGCTGAAGCAACTACGTAACATAGCATTAGATGCGACTCTCCCTTTTCGACCCTCTAGATATCTCGGCGTGCTTAATAAACGGTAGACCTCGCCAAGTCGGAATTCTGGCATGAGATATCTCCTTGGATACAACGTTACCCTACTACAGCAAGCACCAACACAAACACCAACGCAAGAGAGATCGTCTAAGGTGTGTAGCATAACCGGTACACCGGTATCCTAACAAACGAATCAAGCTAGTCGTTGTAATCATGGTTGGAATACCAAAGAGTAATCGTTGCACCTTTTGCAAACTACGGAAGACAAAGGTAAGCCACCTATACTTGCTCCGCTTCCCCTATCCTCACCAGCTAAAGTTGATATTTTCGAATAGTGTGATGAGAACTGGCCAACATGCGGTGCATGTGCTCGGGCTGGCAGGGTCTGCTCCGGGGCACGAAACAATTACAAGTTCGTAGTGAACGGCTGCCACAATGAATCAACCAATTCGGATGGCGCCAGCGAAACCTCCGATAGCAGTAGTCAGATTCAAAGTCAACGACCGCGAGGAACTAACCCAAATGGCACGATGATCATCGACATGAAGGAGTATACCGCCGCCATGGGACCCGGCACGTTCCACCGGATGCGGCTTACACGCCCACGTCACGCTAGGAACGCCAAATCTAGTACGCCGACACCATCCCCTACACCATCGCCGACACCTTGCCCGGCCATGGACGCTTCAGATCGACTAGCAGCCCAATTAGTGTATTGCTTAGAGTCTGCATCTGGGACGGGTCGTGATATGCTGATATGGGGTCCTTCAGTGTGGATGATACCGCAGAGACTAGGATCAGAAAGCCCAGTATTGCGAGACACAGTCAAGTTGGTTGTCGCATCTTGGGCTAACAGCCAACGGGGTACGCTACCACCAGAAGCGTGGTTGGATTTACGACTGCATACGCAAGCTTTAGGGAGTCTGAGAAAGGCTCTCCAAGAACCGGGACAAGACTTGGTGACGGACACAATAGCGGCGCAATGGTTGCTGCAGAAGCTTGAGGTAAGTTTATATTAGATATTAGTGTGTCCGGAGAGATATTCAAGAAACCATTTCTGATAGTTATGACAACTAGCTCACATACGACTTCGAACGGGGCGCAAACCAAGAGCGTCACGCTGCTGGACTGACCGCTGTCGTTAGTAGGGGTGGCCACTGGCAAAGCTTCGATGAATTAGGACTTCACGCCACCTTCGACAGCTTTTTCAATATGGTAAGTCAAGACTTTAGGAGCATATCAGATCGCAGCAGCTAATGACCAGTAATTAGCTGCAAGAAGATGTACGTCTGGGGAGAGACTGCGTATTCATGCACCCGGAATGGGCAACAGCTTTCAGACAAGCAATAGATTTTAACACGACGCGGCCCGTTATCAAGGCCATGTACCGTTTATGGGTCGAGATGACGACTTGGCCGACCCTAGTAAGACTCGTCCGGACGCTATGTCAAGACCCTACAGATACTATGACCGCAGCCGAGCTTGTACTCAGAGCCGCACCGGTGATAGAGTACCTCCAGCACGAGAACGAAACAACACTACAATCACTGATAGAGTCAGGGGATATAACCGAGGTAGACAACTTACTAAACCCAGACTTATTCCCAACATGCTACCAGTTTCGCGACATAGACACTGCGAAGCTATTCTATACTCACGCCATGTACGGCATCATTATCCATCGGACCCTGCAAGAGGCGGACCTTGCCTTAGAAAACTACAACCCGAGCGTGATGAAGCGGTGCAGGGAATACAGTAAACGAATATGGATGTCATACTGCTGGATGAGTGCGAAGATACCGCTCGCCGTCGAATATACAGCCGCTCTGGTATTTTCTTTCGAATCGGCAAACGAAGAAGAACGAGAGTTCTGCATGAGAAGTCTAGGGGATCTGGAATATTACAGGAGGCCGCCACCGGTGGGTCGATGGATAGACGCAACTATTATGGCTAATGTAAAGGGGTATACTGGCCGTCTACCCTTTCTTAAGAGCCGGGACATAACTATCGAAATGTGTGGAATAGGCTGCCGGAGCTAACAGGGCACATGGATATTTTGAACTCACACGCGGGCTAGGCTAATGGTAAAAGAGTACAAGAGTTTTTGGTAATCTGATATCATTGCACTGTACATGATATCGTCTTCCCTATTCCGTAAGACAAGTGTGGGATATTGAGTGATATGCAATAAGTTATATTCATCACTCCCAGAATCCACATTCCTGGTTTTTAAATATGGGGTGCTATAATCTCGAACACTAGGCAGTCTATTAGGCTTGGTCCTATACGTCGGGGGCATTAGAGCACGGGAGCTTACGTAGCTGGTCTGGTTTGACCGCATAAATGTATTCCCTCCCTCAAGCTATTACGCTATGGAACTGGCTGACCCCTGAATGCTAGAAGCAACAGAGGGCTGAGTATATGGATTCTTCAGCCCTTACTAAGGATTCAGGATCTCTCGGATGAATTGTCGGAGGTCATCAGCTTCTTCGGGTACAGTTCGTTCGGGCAAGGTGAGTATTGCCGCCTTCAAGGCATTATCCTGCGCAGTAGCATCTCTTACAAGACTTTTAAGCGTATCAATCTTGTAGGTAGAAAATGGTGTGACCCGCTGAATGCTTAGAAGGGCCTCGAAGAAATCGATCAGGGTAAGATGCAGCAACATATCCTCTTTATCAACCATCGACAGGGCAGCAAAATGTAGTAACCCCCCATTGCCGTTAGACTTGGCGTATTTCTGGTTCAAGTCGGTAAAATCGGACCAAGTTACAGCACGGAAGTTTAGAGCCGTCAGACGAGGTAAGATCCGGAGAAGACGGCCTTGAGCAAGGGACTGCTGCTGGATACCGAGAGGATGATTTGCCCAGAGCGACAATATAAGCTCATATACGTCGCGATCGTAGAAAATTCTCCGCCACAATAGCCCTTGACCGGGCGGCTTCCTGATCGCGATTTCCATGCCATTAACTGATAGGCCATCGGGTGGTCGAGTATCGCAGTCAACATCCAGAAGATCGCCTAGGACTCTAGAACCCTTCTCGCCAACTTCAACTTGCGGTGCACTCAGCCACTGTATTAGGAAGTGCGTAACTATACTGTTCATCCTAGCTAGAATAGCGGCGTCGCCTGGTGACTTGGTGGCCTTTTCAAGCACGGTCATGGCAAGAATATTTGCTGACGGAGCGGGAGACCGTAGAGCTTGTATTAAAGCCTCTTCCGAAGCTAGTGATAGTATCTGAGTGAAAGTGAGGGGTCTAAGGAGCTTGATCGCTAAGCTACATAGAATTTTGGGATCCTGCTGGTACTGCTTAAGGATCTCGGTGATTTTTGGTAGAAGCCTCGGAATAAGAGGCGGGATGTTGGCATCTATCGAATAAGTGTTAACAGGTACGATTAATATATCTACAATTATATAGTCTTAGCTAGGTGAATCTAGCTGGGCAACCCTACCAGTAAGCTGGAGCTCCACATCGTCGAACAGCTTAAGAGTTGGTTCTAGATTCGGATCTGAGATGAGTTCATCAAGATGCTTTTCTAGTTCCTCAACACCGGTGACTGAGATCGTATCTGTATCCATTTTAACGGCGATCCGGCTCATTGTGAAGCCTGAGAAGTGATGAGTAGGGGAGAAGATATCCAGATATTGGGAGATGTCCTGTAAGTCCAGGCAGACAAACGACGCGTTGTATTAGTAAAGTTGGCTTTCAGGGATGAAGATGGATGGATCTCCAAAAGACCGGAACTAAAGAAAAGCTTAGGTACCTAGGTACCTTAGTGGGGGCGGGGCCATGGCACAGCTACTCCACAGAGGTACGAAGTACGTTACACTAGAGATGTACATATATAAAGTACCTACGTACCCACAGACCCCACCAAGTCCCCGCCGAAATTTTGAGAAAGCTTGACTCCAAATTCATCCTTTTTCAAAATAGTCATAATTTCGCAACTCACCCCGACAACAAGCTATATCTAACAACTACCTCTCTGATAAGAGGCCACTTCATGTCCCAAAATGTCAGGTCGCGGCGGTAGAGGAGGTCGAGGCGGCCGCGGTGGCCGTGGTGGCTTTGCAGCTGGTCGCAAGGCCGCGCCGCAAGGAATGCCTGGCGCCGACGAGCCTGGTCTGATGTTCAATGAAAAACCCCAAGACACATATCCGGTAAGCCAATACCTCCTACCTACCTACCTACCAAGACTCAATGTCCAAAAAATATTAACACTACGATCCCCCTCCTAGAAATCCTACAACCCCCCCATCGCCCCCCCCCTCGACGACTCCGAATCCCGCGCCATAGCCTCCTTCGTCGCGTTCCGGCGCGCCTTCCACAGCACGCCCTTCTACACGCACCGACACCTAGCCAGCACGACCGGCGACGCAGCAACATCCAAGCCCGCCGACCCCGTGCGCCGCTCCTACGGACAGCCGCAAATCAACGCGCGCTTCGCCGTCAAGAACCGCGCCACCCTAGACCCTTTCCAAGCCGTGCCCATGTACAGCCACAAGTTCGCCGACGAGACGCGCACCCTGCCCGACCTGAAGGCCCGCGAGCACGAGTACGTCCGCGCTCTGTTCCCCGAGGAGCTATGGGCCACGCTAGACGGGAAGGATACGGGCGGGCCCAAGGGCGGGTTCTTAGGGAGCAAAGCGTCGCGGGAGAAGAGGGGCGTTAAGCGCAAGGTGGTGGTAGTAGGTGGCGACCCGTTTGCTAGCGACGACGAGGGAACCGGAACTAGGACAGATGGTCTGCGCAGACGTCCGCACGAGGACGAGACGGAGGAGGAGCGTAAGGCGCGCATCGAGGCGGCGATCAAGGACGGTGATAACGAGGATCCCGCGAACGCCGAGGACGTGGACTTGGACGAGGAAGAAGAAGAGATGTCGCAGGAAGACGATGATTACGGCGATGATGAGGGCGGCGACTACGATGCGGAAGCTTACTTCGACGCGGGAGATAATGACGACTACGGGGAAGACGAAGGGGTTGGGGAGAGCGCTATGGATTTTTAGTCGCTTATTTCCGAAATTGATATCTAATTGCATTAGGGTCGGCGTTCACGAGGGAAGGGCCTTGTACTAGATATATCACAGGGCCTATGATACCATGGCATTTTAGCAATTTAGCATTTCTTAAATGAATAGAACTCTTTCCTGCTTCGCGAGACCTACTCCTTTTCAGGTTGTTTTACCAACTTGTGAGGATATTGCATATACGACTTGACTAGCATTGATGCTGTCTAAACAGGTATATACCAACCTCTCATTGCGAGCCTGTATCAAATGGACCGATATGGGCCTCCACCTTAACACACAACTCAAGGACAATTCAAGGACAAGAGAGACATGTAGCTTTACTGAATTATACACACCGCAATACGCTTTGGATTGCTATCTATCCGTAGGAGAACCATTGATTGAATATCTAGAAAAGTTTAAGCCTTTTTTCTCTTCTCCCGGAATACTCGCTGACCGATAATACCAATAAAACAAGAACAACGCTCGATGAAACCAGATAAAAAGTAAAGGGGATCTGGGTAAAAAGAAGGAACTAATGGAAGACTAGTTATGGAGAATGTATCCGACTTAGAATCCAAGCTGTCTTGTGCTATTGTGAAACGCGCTTCTTTACCCGCAACTTCATACCCTCATCTCCGTATACTAACCACGCCCCGTTCCACAGATGTATATTAGAAAGAACAGTGTCGTGCTGTACCATCGACCTGCCACGCTGTTTGATTTGTCTAATGAGCAGTTGGGTTGAGTGAATGTACCCTCGCTTGGTATCCTAGGTACCCAGCCTTCACGGCATAGCAATCGCTAAGCCATGTTTCATTATACCCCGAAAACCCAAATATCGAGAAGCGACCTAGGAAAAGCTGTGCAGTTACTCGTTAAAAGTAGCTACGCATGGCATCTTGATATCCGCTGCCCCCTTTAAGGTCTTGCTCAAAGTTTTGCTGTACATTGAGGACCTCGCGAATATGACGCATATTGAGGGGCTCTCCCTTGTTTACAGCAAGGGCTTGGGCAGTGCCAATTGTGTTCTTGATCTGCCGACCGTTCAGGTTGTGTCGTGCCAAGCTTGTGTAATCCTCCTCATCGAACGGCATCAAGTCGATACCTGCGACTACTCGGGCACGTTCGATAAAAATCTTGAAGATGGCTTTCTTCGCCTTCACGTCCAAATCATCATATCGAAGCGCAATGTGGATTCGGGATTGGAAGGCGTCATCGAAAGTCTACAAACGGTTAATTCGAGCGTTAGCTCCCTTTCACCCAATACGGACAGGAAGGACGTGAGAGGATACATACCTGCACACGATTCGTGGTGAGGAATAATATTCCTTGGAAATATTCCAGCTGCCGGAGGAAGATGCTAACGAGAGCATTCCGGTGGATGTCATGCATATTCCGCTTCTCCAGAAATACGTCGGCCTCATCAAGTAGGAGAATGGCGCCCCAGGCATGACAGATGTCGAGGATCTTCTGTAGTTCTGCTTCAAGATAACGCGAGTCGGTTCCTAGGTCGCCCGCTGATACCATATACAAGGGGCATTTGAGGAGCTCACTTATACCCTCTGCCGTCAAAGTCTTCCCGGTCCCAGGAGGCCCATGCAGGACAGCTACCAAGCCTTTGCCCTTGCCCTGAATAACATCGTCGATACTTGCGGCTGGGTGGTACTTATGAGACTCTACTAGAGCCTTGGGATTCCAAGTTAGCGAAAAGTTCAACACTTCCAGAGGCTGACTTAGGCAGCTGCTTGCGTATATCTAATAATATATAGGAAATAAAGCTTCGTCACTTACCTTGACGATTTCCTTGGTGTTTGATTGTAGGACCAATGAGTCGTAAGCATGCTCGTTCCATGAAATCTCCTTAATGCCAGACACGGTGAACTCGAGCCAGAGCTTCTCGGCAAAGGCAAATCCTAGGACGACAGGTGAGGCAATCAAGTATTCCTCGTCGGTAAAGACCGGCGGGGTACCATCATTTCCGTCTTCCCCTACACCCGCTTCGTCGCCCTTGGCACTTTCATTTTTACCCTCCTCATCCTTACTGGGAACTTGATCAAGCTTCTCTTTTGGCGTCTCCGTGTCAACGGAATCTTTAGGTACGCGCACGGTGCGTACATTTCCCTTGTTGTCCTTGTATACCTTGGTCACAAATTTAACTTTGCCACTGTCGTCTCCAGCAGCACCTTCGAGGCCGGCATCACCAGTACCCCCCGTATCGTCTCCCGAGTCACACCCACAACCCTCAGCCTCGTCATCGCTATCGTCGTCGTCGCTAAGAACGTCGTGATCCTTAGGCCGTACAAGGGAAACCGGATAGTTGGGGTTTATACGACGATGGATGGCTGGATCAACCATGATCCGGCCATTGATGTTGACCTTGATTACAGACTTCTTTTTCTTGTGGTATGCCATGCCTTGATGACCCTTGTAGTGCACACCACCAAGGCCCACAAATTTCTTACCACGCTCGATAAGATCTTTGCGTAGCTGAGCTTCGTTCTTGTGGTATTTAAGAGGATAACAGCCCAAACTCGTAATCTTACGAGCACCACGGAACTCGGTTATCTCCTCCGACATACTACCATATCCGAACTGCTTGCCGTCGTATTCGAAATACTGTGCTCTTAATGTTAGCGATCGAGTCTACAATTCAGAGCTAACGCTTTGTGACAGGGGAGGGAGACTTACCTTGCCCTCTATGTAGTAGAATTCGCCCCTAACGATACTGTAGTGTTTTTCGGCTACTTCGACCTTGAAGACGCGGGGTTCATCGACAGAACCATACGTTGTTGTGTACACGAGCGTATTCGGCTTCCAAAGAGCCCATAAAAGATCGAATGTAATAAGGCCATTCTCTAGCATGGGATATAGACTGATAGTCATATGAGCAAATTATATCACCAGCTACATAGAACGCTTGATAGCTTACCTCTTTTTAGTCTCAGCATGATCTGTGTCTATGTATTTAATGAGGACCCGCAGATGGCGTCTTTTCTCGTCAATCCACTTCTGAACCTTTCTACGTTCTTTCCGTGAATTTCCTGCTGGCTCAAGGTCCTTGAGGTTTTTCACATAGGTACGCATATCTTCAAGATATCTGTGGCTGTGATTAGCGATTTAGAAATAGGATAGAATGCAAGTAGCTCACAAGAATAGCATCTTGGGGTCTACCTTAGGAGTCTCTTCAACTAAACTGACACCTTTGACGCTTCCGATGATATCCTTGAGGGCCTCTCGTAGTTGTTTGCTTTTGATATCCACGATGGTCGTCTTGTATTTTCCCTCCCAGTCAAAGGTCCTCCTCACATGAAAGAGGTATTCATCATATTGCGAGCTACTAGCATTCTCAGCCGTATCTTGGAGCTTGTAATTGTGGATCTGCGAGTCCCAGACTTGATCCACGCGTTTAAACTCGAGGTGCTGCGCAACTAGTTTGGTATCATGGGCGTTCTTTGATTTAGATTCCTTGTTACGGCTTGTGTCACCGTGTAACAAAAGCTCGTTAGAACTAAGCCGCCTTAATCGACCTTGGGGTGGCATGTTATTACCACGGCCCCTATTCATGATATGCATAGCTTTTGACCTGTTCTCCAGTTGTTCATTCCGTCTCTGCGCATATCTATTACCGTAATACGCATCGTGGATACCCATCATAGAAGCACCGGGAGGCGCATATCGATTATCGAAATAGGCATCATGGATACCCATCATAGTAGCATCGGGAGAAAGCTGGTACCCGCCAGAATTGGGACCGCCAACGAGCCCTCCTTGAATACCTAATCCAAGAGCAGCTTGGTTGGGAGAAGTGGCAGAACTACCGGGAGGGGCGAAGTTGAGGCCCATAGATGCTGTTTGGCGCAAAAGCTGTTCGACTTGTAATCGTATTGAGGCAAGCTCTCGTTCCGCGGCCTCGCCGATACCCCCCTTTTTGTCGAGATGAGAGCCATCTTCATCCTCAGTGTCGGTATCGCTAGTATTGCCTTCTGAGGCCTTGATTTGTGATTTTGACTGCTTAGTGCTCGTCTTGGATGACTTTACCAATTTCTTGGCTTTCCGGAGATCCTGGCGCTTCTTCTCATTCTTCTTCTTCTTCGCGCGCTCTTCGCTCCCAGACGCGGACTCGGTGTCGGTGGACTCATCTGAGGATGAGTTGGTAAACTCGTCCTCGCTACTGCCAGAAGAACTCTCACTATTGGCAGGAGATGCCTTCTTGGACTTACCAGACTTTCCTTTCTTGCTTTTTCTATCGTGTTTACCAGGGGCCTTCTTTTCGTTTTTTAATCCTTTGGTCTTCTTACTGGCGTCTGGGAGAGCGGTTGCAAGGCCATCCTCGACCGGAAGAGCTTTGGTGTCGTCACCGTTAGGGAAATTGCCTTCGTGACGGTCTGCCGAATGGCTGGTTTTGGTTTTCTGCGATTCGATTTCCAAATCCATGTTGGAGGCCATATCTGCTAGATAGCCCCAGCGTAGGGAGTTCAGGACTCTGAGGGATCAGAAGTAAATGCACCTAAGAAGAGCGCACAAGTAAATGGCCCTTTAAGAGTTGAATGAGCTGGACGACAGTATAGAATGGCTTGAAGCCGAAAGGCGGGGAAAATTCCTGCCTCTGTTTGCTGTGGGCACAATTAAAATCTTCAAACGTCGTGGGTGATCATGACTGGCTGGTCCGTAACCTAAATACACCGTGTCAGCAAGGGGAAAATAATAAAGTACGATAAAATAGGAATTAAAGGGTGCGAAATGAGTTGTGTAATTAACAGTGCCAACTGTCAAAATCTCTTTGGGCCGCCTTTTTCTTCCAGTGTCAAGTCCAACGGCAGTCGCCACGCTGTACACGGCAGTACAGATAATTCTTCTTTTCTATCCAATAGTACTAACAATGAGACGTTACGCACCTATCACGCGACGGATATTGCCGGCAGCATTCAAGAAGCCAGCTGGAGTGAAGTGAAGAATGGATAAGTGGATGATGTTGGAAGAAGATGGCGGGAGTGGGCAATGGTAAGAGGTAGTTGTATAAGACAGCTTCACAAGCAGAAGGTATATGTATTATGTACCGAACTGTCTGAGGATAACGTGTACGTCCTATGTCTCTCTACTAAAGCTTTAGAATAGGAGCCAATATGACAGACCAATACCTAAAGTTGAACAAAGAGTTACCAGAACGAAGGATGGCACGGCGGAGTGGCGTGTGTGTGAATATATGTAAGAAGTGTAGAGGGTGTAAGATTATGGTCGTGACAAGGCAGAACAAGCTGGGGGAGACACAAGGATGGGTTTCGCGGATGATGATACCTACCCTACATATGTAGCCTGGCTATATGATATGACGAAGAGAAGAAGTATGAACGGCGGTGTATCCGTCAACTTGGGACATGAATTAGGCACTCTGCAAGTGCAAATGAACATGGACAAATTAGAAGGAAGGATAACGGAAGAACAGCAAAGAACGGTAATAGCGATCCCTCTGGAACAAGAAAGGGCGACTCCCGATGCTACTACTTCTTCAGCTGTACGATTTAAAAGTAGGCAGCAGCGTGGCGCATGCGGTGGTATAGTACGTGCAGGACCTATCTTATACATACATTCAATATCAATGTACTTGCACTTTTTGGTTGGATACACAACCTTAGCGCTGCCTGCTGCCCACTGCCTACTGCCTACTGCCTACTGCAGCCTATCCCATCTTCGATTCCCGGCAAGAAGCAACATGCTACCTATAAGGATATGGAAGTAGCGCTGATACCGACGGTCGCCCACGGCCGCCTACCGTTGACAGGGGTTCGTAGCTGAGTACCTACCTTATGTACCGAAAATTCCATGAGAATGGATTATACCCAGTCATGTACGGAATATACAGGCTTGATACCATACATTGTATCTGTCATCCGTAGGACTTATAACCTTATGACTCAAGTGGTTGATTATTTTACATGATATGGAAGTGCATGTAAGTGTGAATCTGCAGATGTGAGATCAGCGCCAGACACGTCTTATGTGTAGAATAATAAGTCTATTCTCTTGGCCACATTCAACGTTGACTCTTAACCTGCCCACCTAAGCAGCTAAGCAGCTAAGCAGCTAAGGGAGTAGATCTAGGCCCTGATTCACCCCACCATGCCCGCACATGTTTACATATGTAAGTGCGTTCAAGATGATGGCTTCAATAATTATTTAGATACGTATAGTAACTACATGTATCTAATGCAGAAAGTGGCTTGGCGTAACCCACCCCAACTGCTTATAGGGCTACATAACTAGGACCGCCTGCATTTCAATATACCCACAATGGGTATTAACAAACATTGAATGCAACTATAGCAGTTATATTGTAGTAGTACATACCTAATTATTTGATGTGCTTGTTGCAGAAGAGGTTGACTAAATCACGGCTGTGGCCGCGTGGTTGCCTTATGCACCTGTAGATGACTCCGGAAAACCTGTCCGCCCTGCTATGCCGGTCACTAATAGTTTAAGCGGCTCATTCTATAATACTACCTGCTCTAACGCTATAATCCGGTATATCTGTGTATGTTGGCCATGTTAGCCTATCTGCCTATGTATAGCTACCACATGACCAACCTTGGAACCCTTGCAAAGGACCAATGAGGCGACATTTAAACTAAGAGACTAATGAGTACATACGTAAGACCTTTCGTCGAAGCGTAATGCTGTATATCTATAATACGGCATATAAGTAAACAGTAAGTTAGGAACATGGGTGCACGCTAGATACCTAACGTATGGCACGCATATGATATGATGGACGGTAAACGGTGCTGAGTGCTGGTTCTGGTGCCGGTGACGATCTATTGCAGTTCACATGCTGTACGATAGTTCTAGTTTGCTGCGCCGCTAGCAGCCCAGCAGGCTAGTAGGCATTATGGCACCGGTATCATGTCTCGTGCGCGGCCACGTCGATCGCTTCTATCATGTCTTATGTCTTCCCCAAATAAGTTTGAGAAACACCTTGCAGGCAGCCAGCTCTGGTGCGCGTATTAGAATATAAGGACGAGAAGGTAAGGAGATGAGGCTGAAATCGTGCCTTATACAGAATTGGAGCTAACCGGCTGCGTATGTACGGCTCGGGGCAGACTTGCAGTTTTCGGGGTCACCGGAGGTAAACGCCTATTGAAAACTTTGGCCCATCACTTGCAGCATTTGGCATTTGGACGAGGCCGCCGTTACATTCTGATCAAGCAGCCTTTCCAGTGGGATACTACTCTCGCATCCCGCATGCCCCTCGCCGAACGCGGCATTGCTTTCCTTACGTTTCTGTATGAGATGAGTCGCGCGCGGGCTATTGAATGGAGGAAAGAAAATTTTCCTCGCAATCCCACATTTTGCGGCGGGCAGAATGTATGCAGGACCATACATTGAATATCTGCATCGTTGCAGCACTACACCGATACTGTTATCCAATCAACTGGGCAATCCCACGAAGCCTCACCTCAACAAAATCGACCTAGGTCAGTCATAATAAATATGACCGCGACATATTCGCCAGGATTCCAGATTGTCGGGGTCACACCTTCGGGAGGTATATTTCATCTAAATCATTTTTTAGAATTCTCATACTGGCGAAATCGCTGCCACACCGGGATTTTGCAGAAATCGATGCAGCGCCATCGGCTAGGGTTAGACGGCCGATAGTTGATGTGCTGATGGTGCAACTCAGTCACGGCCCGGCAACAGGCCTTCACGCCTGTTTGTAAGTAGAAGACCCGCTATCATGAGATGAATTTGACATGTCCAAAGAATATATCTATATTCCTTACCAAGGATAATTGCGAATACCTCAATTCGATTCTAGATCGAGGCATTAGGAATCATAGACGGAATATAAGACTTGGAAGCTTCCAAGTATTGTTAGTTAACTATGACGAATTGGAGAGTTGGTGTATTCGCGGTAGGTAATCCGTACCATGTATGTAAATATGCCATGTACACTAAGCATTTATCCAATGATGATGATGATGGCCAGGAAATTCTAATAGAGGTACCTGGTATTTGAACCAATGCGAGATTTCCCCATCCCTGTACGTACTCCACCTGGGCGGCAGCATAACGTCATGGCGACTCGCGAAACAACTTTTATTATTCTCCAACCAAAAAGCATCGCGGACATCACGAACCATAGGTGGGTGGTTGAGATAAAATCAAGAAATTCCGCATTTGACATTGCCTTTTGAGGAACGTCAATCCACCTCATTGACGTTCCTATTGGTACATAGGCTAGGGACATGTATTAACTATACCTTTTCTATTTTCCCTGCCTCGTTTTCCCTCTTTGTTCGCATAGTTAAAATCTTCCTCAAGCTTATACTTTCCTTATAATCAGCTTTAATTATAGTTTCGATTATCTCAAGGCCGGGACGATACTTTTAAATATCAATACCTTCTCGATTGCGCGTTAAAACGATTATGGGAAGTTTCAATTGGAGGAAGCTCCTGGGATGGGATCGTCACCCGTCGAACGGTCATCACGATTGGTCATTTCATGAATCTCGTCGTCGACGTAAGTCAATTCACTCATCTATATTCGCCCTCGTTTCCTTGGACTTTTTCTATAATTGATTTGATCTAACATGAGCTTCTGGGCTAACACACGTCGGGCTCTCCGATATGAAGTCCTCCCTGTTCATCGAGATAATTCAGTCGAATCTGCCATTCCCGCTCCAGAAGTTACCAAGGTTGCCCTCCGCCTCCGATACCTTATCGAACAGTGTGTACCATGCGAACTAGAAGAGTTGCAAATTACCCGGCCCCATAGCAAGATAATCACACCCAAAGTCATTAAAGCTGCAAAAGAGGCCGGCGGATCGGAGAATGGCTCATGTGTAGTGTTCTGCCTCTTAGTTGTCAAACGTTGGTTTAAACATCAAGCCGTAGTTGAGCTTTGGGATGCGGACCTGCATCAAGTCCGGGCTATCGCTTGTGAGGTCATAGCGAAGCAGATCATCGAGTCTGAGGATGATGTGCCCTATCTGCTACAGTCGATTCTGCTTAAGCGCTACTCCATCGTCGTCGACGGCGAGGATACCCCACCTGTTAACGTTATCGAGAAAGCTGTCGATCTTCATGCTCTGCGTGTAATTGCTTCTTCGGGCTACCAGAAATGTATCAACTATCTCTGGAGAGGTTGGCTCGTCCAGGACGAGAATGATCCTGCGAGCTTCGTCGACTACAAGGATCGCGACAATACTACATTCATACTTCATTTGGATCCCGACCGCATGCGAGCGCCCATGTACCAGAACGCCCTCCAATTAATCATTTCTTTCGTTTACTTGGCTCTCTACACTGGTGCGATCAACACCATTAACCCTGATGGTGATCTGGACTTTGTCGAGGTTTTACTCTACGTTTTCACCTTCGGCTTCCTATTTGATGAATTAGCAAAGTTCTATAAAGCTGGATACCACATTTTCAGCTTCTGGAACGCATTCAACAATGTCCTATACTCGCTACTGATGGTTTCACTCGCTATGCGCATAGTCGCCTTTACCCACTCACCAGATGACGATTCCCGTCAGAAATTCAACCAGCTTTCGTATAACTTCCTCGCGTTTACGGCGCCTATGTTCTGGATCCGCCTGCTGCTCTATATGGATTCATTCCGCTTCTTCGGTGCGATGCTTGTTGTGCTTAAGGTGATGATGAAAGAAAGCATGATCTTCTTTGCTTTGCTAATTGTTGTCGTTATCGGTTTCTTGCAAGGTACGTATAGAGTAGAAGGATGTATGAGAAGCGACTAACATATTGCATAGCTTTCATTGGCATGGATTATGCAGACGACATGGCGGGAGAGGATACGATTTTCATTCTACAGGCTATGGCCAATGCCATCATGCAAAGCCCAGATTTCAGCGGGTTTGAACGTTTTAGCCCGCCGTTTGGAATCATTCTCTACTATCTCTTTACATTCGTCGTCATGGTCATCTTGCTTAATGTATTAATTGCGCTTTACAACAGTGCCTACGAGGATATCTACGACAACGCCGACGATGAGTTTCTGGCGCTCTTTTCTCAGAAGACCATGCAGTTCGTGCGTGCGCCGGACGAGAATGTTTTTATCGCCCCGTTCAACTTGATTGAAATATTTCTCTTAATCATTCCTTTTGAGTGGTGGATGCCCAAGAAGCACTACGAACGCCTCAATGACATTGTAATGGGAATAATATACTCCCCCTTACTCTTTTGCTCTGCCTTGTTCGAAGTCAGGGCAGCTAAGGACATCCGTCGAAATAGGAGGAGGGGCGAGGAAGATGATGATACCGAAGAGGAATGGGAGCAGATGGCGAACGAGATTGACTTTGAAAGCGAGGGCTGGGCAAAGAAGGTTGCTAGTAGCAAAGCTAATATCGAGGAGGATTCTACCATGTTAGAGGTCAAGAAGCTGAGAGAGGATGTTGAGCAACTCAAAGCCTTACTGGAAAAAGTTGGCAACAACATCAATGACAAGGTTGGAGGTGATGGTTTACTTTGATATATAATACCCTCGGCAAGGACAGTCTACTTGGATGGCGATCGTAATGAGTTATAGTTTTATCTGATAGTCTACATTAATACTAGTACAGTGTCTTGCTTGTATTAAAATGATCAATTGGCGAACTATAAGAATAATGACATGTGCCTAAGATATACTTACACGACAATGAGACTAGATGATTAAACAATGATCCGTCCAGGCCAAGCACTTCTTCATACGAGTTTGCTTAACCTAATCCCCACATACAACTAGAGTCCGAGTCTCATACTTCCATCAATGGGTCCTTACGAAGTGAACGCCCATTGTCTCCATAATAGCAACGCAATAAATAAATCTAATACCTCGGGTGATATAAGAGTCATGAAGTCTATATGTTATAATGCTTCTCTCAACGGTACGAGCGGCATATATAAGCTCAAAGTATACATAAGTTATTAGCCCAGTTGCCGCCATGATGCTACGTCTTCTTTCGTTCGATTTCCGTTAATACGAAAGGGGTCGAGCGTAGATTCGTGATATTACTCAACTCTGTAAAGTTGACTATAATATCATAACGTTAATCGATTGCAAAGTATCTCCAGTCAGGTATAAATTCTCGGCCTCCCCCCGACAATTTCTAGTCATTGAGAAGAAACCAAAGCACTTTCTTTCATATTCTCGATTCTCTCGACTATATCATTGAGCACAGCCCCCAGGCATATCGAACGCTTAGGTACCAGCAGCCACTGCCAGATTCTTTCGCCCCTGAATAGACAAAGCCTTACAGTTTAATAACAAAAAGGTCAAAAGAGATCAAGGTACGTAATCTCAACGGTTATTCTTATAAACAAAACGAGAATCCAACAACAAAGGACATCTAGTTTCGCCATGGCTGGCAAGTCTTCAAACGCACCCGGGCTATATGAAGCCCAACCAATTACCCAATCCAACGACAATTTCTCTCGAATGGACGCTCTCACTCTCCTCAATTGCAATAAGCCAATACCCGGCTTCAAACCAAATTATTATACCAAGGACACAATGCCCTACCGACCTCACTGCGCGTGCACCCAGTGCGATTGCCCTAACCTCGCGCGGATCCCCACGGAATACATCAGCAACTCCGGCCACAGATCGGTCGAGCCGCAGCCGACTCATTGCCTCAGATGCGAGAAGCTTGAGTTATGGGGCAAGAATTCACCCTCATACAAAGCCTGCAAATGCGAGTGTCGATGCCGGCTTCAGCGCGAGGATGGCGAGTTGCAGTGTGGCGACTGCCTCGAGGCCAACCGGGAGAACCATCACCGCCATCGGGCTCATGGAAAGGCGTAGGGAGTCGGAACTATAAAGAGTTGGGGACACGGTTGATTATATCCTGTAATCTTAACGCTTGGACTTATTTGGGGAGGGCGGAGGATGATACGAGTTTTTGATATTCATATTCATCATAGCGGGAGTGTTTTCATATACCCAACCGGTTTCGGGACGGAACGGTTATCTAAGTCGGCGACTTACAACACATTTTGGTAGCTTGTATACAAGACTCCAGACAATACACTTTCTTATGTTACCTACAATAAATTTCATTTGCACCTATGCTAATAACTTACTATCGATGTGGTGATGTAATATGACTGAGTTGATATTACTTAAATCCTTGCCCAGCTATCTCGATGATTCCAACTATTTATTAACTTGCCATGTTAGTATTGATGGACTATGAATAACGTACCTATACACGTTGGCGTGATCACTTGTAGTAGCGAAGTTTTGCTCCTAACTTGCTAGAATTAGAATGGCTATTAATGCGTATTACTGACATATCTCTTCAACAACATAGGACAATAGTTTCGGCCAGCCGTTCGCATCATATCGTCCGTTTCTCATGAACCCCGAGATACAGGATTAAATCAAGTCAATCGTCAACAAATATCCTATGCAATACAAGCATAGATCCAACACATCAGAGAAAACGTTTATGTTGTTATTGCACCGTTCAAATCTTCTTCGCCCATTCGCTTCTCGCCACCCAGCTCCTTAGTCGCTTGCCATAGATGTAACTAGGGATAGTGAGTAGGCTGATTCCTAGGTTTAGCATTGCGATTCCGATGAATAGGGTCTTAGGCCCAAACTTGGCAAGCAGTCCGTTTCCGATGGTCGAAGCGATGAAGCTTAAAAGCGCTTTGACAAAGTTGATAGTCACAAACGCCTGGTTGGCATCCTTGGTATGACAGTCAATAACGTAGCTGATCGATGCTTGAGAGGCGAATGGCACGGCTACCGAATGCATCGTAATCCACACCAAGCACCAGGTTAAGGATAAACCTTTGGAAGTAGCAATCCCGAACCCGATAAATCCAGCCGTACTAAATGGGATAGCAATAAGCATAAGGACCAAGCGAAACTCAGGCTCGAAAACTCCTCCGTTCCGCTTTGCCAACCAAACAGGGATTGCGTCAGCCATCCATCCGGAAAGTGGCGAGAAGATTAACGTGGCAATAGCCAGGGGAATGTTGGTGAGTCCAACCTGCGCCGGTGTAAGGTTGTACGGAGGCGCAGAGAAGATGTTGACAGATAAGACACCAATCATCAAGAGCCAACAAAAGAAAGATGCGTAGACGAGAGTTGAAAATATGACGGCAGGGAAACAAATGAGGGGGAATGGTTTAACCGCACCCTTCCAAAAGGAGTCGTCAGATAATCGGCCACGGAAAATACGGAGCTGGCTCTTGTAACTTTCCTTTGACTCGCTGGCTGGGTCATCGCCTTTAAGATCGATACTCACTATCGAGGATGCTCGCGACACTGGGCGCTTCTCGTCGAACTTGGTGCTGCGCGACCCCGTGTACGTGGTCTCGACAATTATGAAATACATAAGGGGTAATATCAGGCAGAAGATGAGCGCACTAATAGCAAAGGTACCAGTGATACCCATCGCTTCGATGATGTAACCAGAAATGATCTGACCCAGCAAAACGCCTGTCCCTAACATAACTCCCCACAGTGATAGGCGTAATCCTCGCTGGTGGACGAAGAATAAATCCGAAACTGTTGACGTGACCAGCGTCTCTAGGGGAGCGGAGGCGATTCCTTGAAAGATACGCATAGCGGCCAACGAGGGGAAGGACTATAGGGTCTTAGTATGGAGAAAGAGGAAAAGCGAAAACGCTGTGGCTTGACGTACATCTGCGAAAGTACCCCAAATGTTCGATATCAACAGCAATAATGTAGATATCACGAAGAACGGCCTCTTCCCCCAGATGTTTGCTCCCGAAGCCGTAAAGAAGGTCACCGCGCCCGTAAACAGAAGGATAGACCCGACCATGAAGGTAGACACCATGTCAGGGCTGGCATTGTACTGTTTACTGATTATCACCAAACCAGGCGAAATCATCGGGCCAAGCCTGTTTACGTTAGACCGTCTGTGCAGGCAAAAGCTATGACACCGAGCCTACTTACGAGGTCGTAACGCCGGAGCTGAAGGCGAGAATGAGCATGATTGAGTTCTTCTGAACCATTGACCACTACATCTCTTCATTAGTCCTCGACCGCTTAAGACTTAAGAGTTGTTGCAAATCGAGAATACTGACGTTGAGGGGATCGTTAGGCGAGTCGCTCGGCTGCGGAACCAGGATGATGTCGCCATCTTTCTTTAAATCGCCGGTACTCGCTAAAAGGCATCTTTTAGCATGGGGATAACGGACAGCTAAGCAAGCGGAGCTCTCATAACTGACCTGCATCGAAGGACGGACCCTCTTCCTCGCCAAGCTTCGATGTCCCCGGCGGCCGGGTCATATGTCTATCTTCCAGTACCCCGATACCCATTTTGAAGGAGGAATTAAAAAGAAACCCACGAGGAAAAATATAAGTAGTATATAAGAAATACAGCAGCTGAAGAGAAGATAATGGAAACGAAACGAAAGGTAAAAAAAACACTGCCGGCAGCGTCTGGTCGGATGATTAAAGATGGAATGAGAAAAGAGATGGGTGAGAAGAAGGAAACACCATCGTCGCAAAACACACGGCGGTACATGTCTTACTTATCTTTCCAAAACCGTCCTTGCGATGATCATGTCGCACAGATGGCGGTTGGCAATAGTCCATCGTGTGTTCTCAGTGGAGTCGAGTTGGGCTCGTCCCTGCGTCAAGAGATTGATCACCATCAGATGGACGTTTGTATACGTTGTACGTATCGAGCATAACAAGGGGAGCCCGCATCGTTTCGCCTATGGTAAACGATTCTCGTACAGCGAGAGAGCACAGAGAGCACAGAGAGCACAGAGAGCACGGTGAGCACAGAGAGCACGGTGAGCACAGAGAGAACCTGGCTTCATGTTTTCTGTGGCCCTGTCAAGCAAGCCAAGACCTATCAAGAGGGCCAGTGCCGATTGATCTTCGTCTTGACTGTTCCGTGCTACATATAACAAGTCTATAACAAGTCCATGTTAAGCGGTCGACGGGGCCGAGAAGCGCGGATCACCAGGGTTATAAAACAGACATCCCTCTCACAACCCGGTCGGAAACCGACACGCCCCTGTCGATCCGGCACGACTGCAAGATTTATCACGGTAGTTGAGAGGAAGTGGGTTTGGCTTTTCCAGCCTTGTAAGCTCTGTTAGTCCTTATAAGTCCTGCATTCGTTTCGATAAACGCTCGATTCGGTGTGGCGGACTCGGCATTGGGATGGGGAAGTCTGGCTGGCCCGGGTCCTTAAGGTATCTAAAGACATTCCACGTTTTACAATGAATTGGCTTGTGTATGGACGGTGCTTGCTTACAAATATGTGGCTTACTTTTCTATAATAATCCCAGATGGCTTTCACAATGCATAAATAAGCCCAGATATTTATGTTTCGTCGTGAATTTTACTAATTTGAAACGGATCGGGCGACGAATCGGGGTGAGACGGTCTCCGATACCCCGATTAAAACCACCCTAGCCTGCGGACGCGATGCGGCTGATGAGCTTTCTAATTCGGTACCCCACACCCACCCTCCTATGTATGGCCATAAACCGTGCGGTATTGCAGTTTATTTAAGCTTCATTTTATAATATAAGAAATAATAAGGAAAGAGATTCAACTTTACATATATGATATAACTAACTGTTATAAACATTTAGCCCGTGACACCTATATTAGAATGTTAATAATGTGTAATATAATAGTTACATAAAACCTGCAAAGGCCAGATATAATAATCTCGAATAATACAAGTACCGGTTATAAGGTACGGCAAAGCCATCTCAGCATAGCCCATGAGAACAGACAACAATCGATATACGAGTGGGCATTGACTCTAAACTGTTGATCGGACCTGGTGGCTATTTAGTTTCAGACCTATCATTTTGCTAACTAAACCCCTAATGTAAGTCCATTTAGATCGGCCACTTAAGAGCCTTGATTTTACTTCTCCGTAGTGCAGTGTCGGTAGAAAACAACATTAATAATATTATAGACAACCCAAGTTGAGTTGAAGATCGGCGGCTAGAAACCGGTATAAACTATTGATATATCTAAACTTACATTATTTGAGACAAATTCCTAATCTCTTTTAACAGGGAATATCTCGTGTTAGTCAACACAACAAGTCCCATTAATCGCCTTGTGTTTTCGAATCTTCATGCTGTTCTTGACTTAGTGTCGACTGTTCAGGTCCCTTACCCTTATCCTCCAATGCCTCTGTTTTCTCCTCATCCCTTTCTGCCCCCTTAGTCTTGGCACCGTTACCCCCATCGCCCTCGTCTGCTGTGTTACCTACGTCGTCATCAACGTCGTCATCCCACTCGGGAATTAATTCGTTCGTGGCCTCGCCCTCATCACTGTCGTCGTAGCCGACCAGTACACTCTTAGCCGCCCGCCTCCCCATAACTGGCAACCGCTTAACTCCTGCGTCGCTAGCTTTCTTCGGCACTACCTTCGGATCCAATAAACCCACTTGCACTAGCACGCTGGCTTGGTCCCAGTAGACGTGTTCGTGATATAACTTGCCTCCCCGCAAAGTCACGATGCTTACTAGGAGAACCTCGACTTTCTTGTTAGTCGGGGGTACCCCTGGAAGTATCCAGGGCATTTCTTGCGTATGCTTGAAAGAGACGTGTAACTCATCGACGACACGGTCGGAACCGATTGTACGTGAAAGCAAAGTGAGTTTCATGGATTCGGGGTTCCTGTCAATGAAGAACTCGGAATAAAATCTCTGGAGCTCTTCGGAGCCAATGGCTCCTGTCAAGGTAGGGACATAGGTGACGTGGGGGTTCTTGTGGGTCGTATAGGTTGACAAGGTCTGTTGTAAGTGGCGGTTGTAAAATTTACCTGATCAATGTTAGCGACAT